AAAAATGTAATAGCCAGCTCCATCCTAGAGATGTTGAGATGGTGAAATGACATGATGTTTTTAAGACTTTTAAACCACACCTAATACTGCTCAGAAAACTTAATTCTATCACTAACATTTATGTTCTTTAAATTAGAAGACAACACTGTTTCTATCATTTTTCTTTCTGAATGCATTTTTGAGCACAGTAGTGTCGGGGCAGCAGCACATTCACAAAATCTCCATCATGGAGAACTTTGGTCCCTGACGCCAACATCCTGGGGCCACTGCCCAGGGGAGAGGTAACTGACTGTGGCAGGTGGCTAAGGTGTGGCAACCTTAACTGTGCCCATTTTTCAAAACAAATAAAACCATAATATAGACATGGACAGACGGATGACGGTTCCAGTTAGGACTTCACGACCAGTAAGGAAAAGTGATAAAAGGACGAACTCTGGCTCCCAGCAGCCCTGTTTCGTTATGCTTCCAAGCGGAGCTGCAACCTGTTGCAAATACTGGCAGCACTCCAGGAAGATGGAATTTGCAGATGCTTAGAATCGCCGGGCAGCTTGTGAAATTGTGTGCTGTGTTCTATTTTATGCATTTTTATGTGTGTAATGCTTTGTTTCAATAGTGAAGTTTGAGGCTACTGTGAGCAGGATTGGAGCGCCTTTGAGTTCTAAAAATTTTAGCAGATATATCCGAGTTTTAAGAGACAAAAGACCTTAGCAAGCATACAACAAATACTTCAACAAGTGTTTGCCAAAAATGTGGCGAATTAGATTTTTATACTGAGCTCAATCTGCACACTCACAGAAAAGAAAATGAAGGGAATAGATGCCAAGGGGTGGGTGTGATGTCTCTTTGGTTAGCTGACCTGACCTACTGTCAGGCTTCTGAAAACCTCACATCAGTGGGGACTCTTCAAGAGTAGTGCCAGTGATATCTATCTTTCTTTCTTTCTTTCTTTCTTTCTTTCTTTCTTTCTTTCTTTCTTTCTTTCTTTCTTTCTTTCTTTCTTCTTTTTTTCTGCTGCTGAGAATCACATTCAGGATCTTGCACTTGCCGCGCAGGCACTGTGTGGCTGAGCTATACCGGCCCTGTGGCATTTGCTTTATCCACTATCGAATCTAGTAATTTCTGTAGTGCAGAAATTATCTAAAACATTAGACCCTTAACTGGGCACTTGAACTTGAAATTTCTAAACTTGTGTCCCAATATGGATTACACGTGAACATTTTTAGTCTCTGGGTCAAATTTGGGTGCAAAATGAAATCTATTTTCCTACCTTTTGTTCATGGCATCTAAGACTACTTACCCCAAGTTTTCTAGCTTGGGTCAAGAATATAGCATAGTACTCTGAATAACTACTATGAAGACAACAATATACAATGTATTAATTATTGTGACTGTCCTACTAACCAGTTTTGAAACTGTCTCATTGCTATTTCTTTCTCATTAAAATTAATTTTAAAAAAAGACTATAGCATAAAAAGAAGTAGCTCTAAGCTGAGCTCATGGTCATGAGGCCTAGAATAGAACAGCAGGATTTGCTTTCTGAGATGGATCCCATTTGCTCCCTTAGGTACAACACAAGGATCCTTTTCAGAGCCAAATGGTGAGCGATCTTATCAGGCTCCTCTCTCGCCGCTGTTCTGAGCCGTCTGGCTCCAGCGTCTGACCAGGAGGTAACAGGTCCTGAGGCCAAAGTAAAGAGCAGCAGGTGAAGGTGAATGCCATAGAGCTGGCTCAGCACTGAGGGAATTCTGGCCATGTCCACTTTAACAAAACGCAATTCAGGTGAAAAATGACTGCTGCGCGGAGATTGAGATGTGCCAGCTGGGCCCTTCTTTCCCTGTCGCATCCATACTGACTGCTTCACCATTGTAGGAATTCCAGGGCGTCTTCTGGAGCTTAGGTCAAGATGGGGATGCCAAAGGAGCACCATCAAAGGAGAGGCCAATGAGAGAGCCAGGCGAGGTCGGTCCCGGTGATGCCAAGGCCCGCACATCACATGCCGAGGCCCGCACGTCATGCAGACCCATCCCTTTCCTCCGCGGCCTCACAGGAGAGTTGCTGCAGAACTTATTTCCTGTTGCTCTGTGTGTGCTGACTTGGTTTTTCATCATCTTTTCCTTCTTCCGTCTTATTTTTATGCCTTTGCTTCTCTTGCCTCTTGCATGGCAGTGACCATGGTCTTTCTTGATTCTTCTAAGTTGAAACATTTGTAGGGATGACTTTAGGATTTCTCTCTCTACCTTTTCAATTCCCAATAAGGCCTAGATTTCAATCATGGTTATAGACGTGAAGACCAACATTTCCTAAGATTTGCCATGCGTGGGTGTAAATGTATCAAAGAATACACACACACACACACACACACACACACACACTATACTGTTAAAAATCATGCTACTGTATAACTGGAAAGATTGAATTAAATAAGGACTACATACAATAGAAACAGACAGAGACATTTTAAAATGAAACATTGACTCTTAGAGTTTCTTTGTAACTCCTAGGCCACTTCTGCTTTCCTAAGTCTTGAGAATAAAATTAAGCAAACTATTTTTCTGAAAGGTCTTTAACTCACCTTTATTTAGCTTCTTAAAAGATTCAGTGATTTAACTAGCATTTTTGTTTCAATGTTTACCCTAATGTAAGCTCAGATTTAAGATTTGCTAGTTTAAGTTTCATTTTCTCTTCCACGCACTCCTGTGAGCCTCTCTGGGGTGTATGGGGCAGCTGTGGCCCATCTCACCACCTCTCTGGATCATATCCTGAAGCTAGAACAGTGATGAAAACAGGAAAACAGTGGCGAATATGTGTCTGGTCTGGAAATGCTGCCCCTCTAGGAGACGGAAGGCACAGCCGCGTTGTACCGTACACAGGCTCAGGCCTGCTTGTTGTAAACTTTAGGGATTTAGCACTTCAGCCAGCAGGCCATGGCACAGGGCTGCAAGAACACAGTGCTGAAGACAGCCAAAGGGTTATGCTGTACACAAAACCCTGAACACGCCTTGAAGGATGCTTGCCCTTTAAGGGCATCTTAACCCTTCTGGCCTCTGAGCCTGTGAGTCCTTTGCTCCTTTTTATTGCTCTTTCTCCTAAATAATTGCATTACACCCACTGTTATGCCTCAGGCCCCGAAATACGGTGCTAATGAGAATATCTTAACATTCGTGGGTAGAATGACATTTTAATCCACTGTGTGAGATGGGATGATCAGATTGCCCAGTTGTATTATTATTTTAAAGCTTGCTATTCTACTGCCACATTATTGAGTGATTAGATTCCATATGGTTTAATGATCAAATCAGATATTAGATAGACACAGTCAGCAAGAGGCTTAACATAACCTACTTTGGTGGTCTTGATAACATTGCCAACGCCATCTGAACAATAACGGCTGATCTGTGATGGGCTGACCGACATTTCCCTTCGCTGTTTCTTTGTCCTTTTTTCAACAATAACTAGAGGCAAATGTGGTAAAGCAGATAATGATAACTCACTAAGGACTATTGAAATTCTGTGACTAGAGCGTGGGTCTACTCGCCGTACATTAGCTCCTGGGGGTCTGTCTTCCACCAGTGTGTTTTCAGCTCCTCCTGCTTTCCTGACTCCCACTCTGCTGCTCTCCACCCCAGCTTCCTGTGCAGCGCCTCAGCCCCTTCTGCCCACTGTTGTCGGCAGTGCTCCACAGCCCAGTGCTCCACATCTTCGCAGCGGGGGAGATCCATGCTGTCTCAGCACCTCCTAAAGCCTCTCCTCACTTTCCCAGAGGCTTTGCTGACCTCCCCGCTGCCCCAGTCTGCTCCCGCTTGGCCCACCCTGCACCCTGCATCTCTCTGTTCTTTCAGCTCTGTGGCAGCTGCAGGCCAATGCTTGGTTCTGTGCTGTTTGGTGAGCTGGGTGAAGTCCAGAGTCAGATCTGCTTCTGCTTCTTACGTGCTGAGAACAGAGTACTATACATCGGCTGATGGTTAGCTACATGAGCAGATGAATGCCGCTTATCAAGGAATTTAACATATTGCTTTTTTTTTTTTTTTTGTATTTTGGGACAGGGTGTACAGGGTGTACAGGCTCTCACTGCATAGATCGGACTCATAGTGATCCTCCTGTTTACAATCTCCCAAGTGCTGGGATTACAGGCTTGCGCCACCACGCCCAGTCTCAAACAATGTCTCAGCATGCTCCTGGGGAGGGACCAGCATGGCAGGCCCTGTGATCGAACTCCTGTCTCCTGCCCCTTGTATCTGTCTAAGCAGATGCTTTAATCCACGGAGCTGTTTGGCGGATGCTTCTTTTGTTAGTTTTTAATAGAAAGAACTTTATCATTCGAGCACCTTCACTTGCATAAATTACTTTTTTGGGGTGTACATAAGGCCATTGATGTAGATTGGTATAGATCGGAGTGAATTTTGTTTAAAGATAAAACATGAAATTTAGTGGAAATAATTTTGAACTTCTGAATGAAGAAGCAAAGTTCTATTAATAAGTGTGTGGGTAGAAGCTTTTGTTTACATGCATAATCCTCTACATATGTACATCAAATAATTGTAAAACTATGAAGTGCATACTCTGTGCAGGTGAAAAACTTGATATAGAGAAGATACACACAATGAATATGTTTAATAGATCCTTCTGTGTCGTGAGACCTTTTTGGTCCTCATCTCGGTCCATGAAGTTTATCATTGTAATCCCAAAGGTATGTTATTGGAGTCCCACCAAGTTAATTCCAATCTACCACTCCCAGTGCAACCCACAGTGAAAATGAAGACACTGAAGTATATTTATAATTATGGTGAGCCAAGGGGTGCTAAGTCCCTAGACCCAGGGCCGAAACCAGGTTTTATTCAATCATGAAGAAGAAGTGGCTTGAAGATGAATGACTGAGAAGTGCAGAAAGTAGGTGAGTAGTGTGAGCTGGGCTAGGTGGGTGGCCTGCATTTACCTCTGCGATATGCGGAGAGGCCATGCAGAAAAATGATTTGCATTATGATATTGAGATAGTATCTAAGGTTTGGGGTCTGGTGCTTCAGCTCTGATGTAATCTTTCAAGCCCCAGGAAGTCATAGCTTCTATCTCGAGGCTGGATCCCAAGCTGGCAGAGCAGAGCACTGGCTCTTTGTCCTATCTCAACCCGGCTCACAGTAAAGAGCAGCAGGTGTGGGTTATCAGAGAAACATCCATGCTGCCTTCAAAGACTACCACCAGCACCTCGGCTAGACCAATATACATTGCTTAAGGCCAATTGAAAGGATAAAGAGAAGTCCTAGCCAGCTCTGCACATATCAATACAAGGAAACAGGGTCAGGCTCAGCCAAAATGGAGACAATCGCTCTTCTTTCAAGGAGAGCTGCTCAGGTGGGTTGTACAACATTATGTTGTATTTGGGTGTGCTCTCCACGGCCTGCTCCCAGAAAGTGACCGAGAATAGTGGTGTTCCTGACACGTGTGGATCTCTTCATTGACTGGCTTTGGCTTGTTTATATATAGATATTATATTATATATAAATTATATATATACATATATATATATATAACATTAATTTTCTATCACAATTTTGTTCCTACAAAGTTATTATTCAGAGAGATCCAGTAGCATCCCCAGTGCGACGAGGCTCGCAAGTGGCCTAGTCGGAGCTGTTACTTCTCACAGCTCTGTGGCTATACCTAGCTGTCTTCCAATTATGGGGATGGACTCAGCCAGGGTCTGAGCTGCTGTGTCTGGAAGCCTCCATCACACAGCGCCTTGGGTGTGCTCTCCACGGCCTGCTCCCAGAAAGTGACTGAGAACAGTGGTGTTCCTGACACATGTGGAGTTCCTCATTGACTGGCTTTGGCTTGAGAATTCCTCAGTGGCCTCATTAAATCTCCAGGCTCAATCCAGGAGGCTTCCACCATTTCCTCTCTATCTCTGCATCAGACTTGCATCTGACAGCTCTTGTGACCATCCCTGCCCTGCTGAAAAGCCTTCATGCTTCATCCTGTTGTGACATCTGCTCGAAGGATCTAGGCTCAGTCATCTCTCCATCAGGAAGTCCTTGAGAAGGGAGAGAAATGACACACATAGAGAATGGGAAAAGGGATGCACAAAGCTAGCATGGTGACTGTACTTGCCATCGGTGAGATTTCAAGAAGTTAGGATTTTTATTTTTAAGAACTGGCACTTGCTTGTCTGCCTTGTGTAAACAAGAGAAACTCGTACAGAAAGGGAGACAGACCCAAAGCTGCACCTGCGCCTGGGACTAGAGCATTTGTAGTTGGGTAGGGAAAGAACGGTTTGAGAAGGAGAGCAGGTGAAGCATTAAACTCTACTCCCAGAAGAGAATAGGAAGCAGCAATGAAGATCGTGAGCTCCAGGAGGAGCAGGAGCTCGGCGTGGCTCTGATGTTCATGATTAATAGCTGCATGAATTAGAACAGTTTTCAATGTCTGACTTACTTCCTCAGACATAAAGCGGGATTAATGACAACCACGTCATGTATCAAGTAAGAAAATACACTGGAAGGGCACAATCAGAAACTGCACTCCACAGAAATGAGGATTATGGAGATTAAGGCTGGTTGCTAAGTGGGTCTTTAGCTCTCAAGCAGGTGGACGTTTACAAAGTACACTGGAGAAGGGTGGGCCGGGTGCCGCGAGCCTGAGATCCAACTCATCAGGCCGAGCCAGAGGCCTGGAAGTGAGGCTGGCTTGCCAATTTAGCCAGACCCTGACTCAAAAGAGAGGTTTTTTTTTTAAAAAAAATGAGCTAGCAAATGGACTCAGTGGTACAGCGCTTGCCTGGCTTACACAAGGCTCAAGGCTCCAGAAAAAAAAAAATCAATGTTAAAGAAAGGTTCTGTTTTAAACTTGTTTAACCTTTAGTTGGCTGGTACCATTTCAGGAGTGAAAGGATGCCGTGTACATTTGTGCAGTGTGTACAGCAGCTACTACAGCATGTGCAAACTTTGTTGATCTGCGTGTCTTTTCAGTGAAGATGAAGACTCACTCAACTGAGTCAGAAGTACTTGCATGAATTTGATAATATAAAGTGATGTCAAAGTCATACGGCTAAAACTCTGGCGTAAACAATTATCACTGAATCCCTGACAAATGCTAATTACAGACGAGTTCTCTCAGCACTTGATCGTTGTTCAAGGGAGGATTGCAGAGCAGCTCCTGTGTGCCGTTGGAAACCTACTTAATTAATTTTGTTGATTTGTCTTTTGCTTTTCTAAATCTCCATAGAAATTCTTGCCCATTTACTTTTTGGTAGGACACACTTTGGAAGTACAATTATTCAGAAGTTCACTATGCACGTCTATGTTTCATGTAGGCTAACGTTCCCACCTGCCACGAGTACCATGGCCACCGAAGCTAAGTCACCAGATTTACAGTAGGGAAGACACCTGCCAAGAAGAGAAACTGGGCTTGTTTCCCTGAGTAGCATTTGACTTTCGACGCTTGCTGAGATAGACTTTAGCTCACCAATACTCTGCACAGAGATCGAGGATAGGACACTGTCTTATATATGTGTCTTATCCTATTTCATTTATTTTGTAGGGAGGCATTTTTCTTTACTTTTTCAGAATATTTCTATTAGTCTTGTGAGACTACCTTGCTTATTTTTTTAATTCAAGATACTGGCTTAAAAGAATTATATATCCACTAGG